TGTTTTTAGTGAGCTGATCCAAAAGAACCATCTCTCTTAAAATAGCTGAAATTCCCAACATTTATAAGATTCAACTCACAACAAACAACAGACTCCATTGACCCAAGAGAAAAAAAATACCCCAATGGCAATTTAAACATCTAAGCAAGAAAACAACTAAAGGAAAAAAAAAATTGAAAAGGTGATCTTTCAAAAACTATACAACAAATTTGGAAGTGTTAATTCAGCTCCCACAAAGTTGAATTAAACATTCTTAGAGTGTTTATATAGTTCCACATGACTTCATATTCTAAATTCAACATTTATCAGGGTTGGATTTATGTAAAAATCTGACTGTATTATCTGATTGAACTGCCTGTGTCGTCTTCCACACCCATCCAACCATCTTCCACACCCTACTTCACAACTCCAAAAGCCACCAATGTTGTTGTTAGCACATGTATTTTAAGAAATAAGCATATATAGAGAGGTTGGCATTCTGAAAGAAACTCTGCCAATTACTTATTTTTAAATAAACCCTAATAAGAATGGTTTGAAGTTAACTTAAAATAACATTGATTTTTGAGGAACCAACTCTGGGTGGTGTGCAGAAACCACAAAAATACAGAAAACCAGAAAACTCACTTGAAGGGAAAGAAATGATGACAAACCAGCAAACAGTGACTGAGCAAGAGATGTATAGATGGGAAACTGAAACAAAGACCAGGCTAATCAGCAGATTGGGAGCAGGTTTTGGACAGAGAAGTCTAGAAGGGAGCAAGGGAAAAGGAGACTAAACCAAGAGGTCAACAAAGGGCAAACAAGAAATACCCAAAAACTCAAATACAATAAAAAATAACTAGAATAACACAAAATAGAATAGAACCAATATCATTACACTTAACACCATACTCTGAGCAGATAGCACCAACACTGCAATTTAACTTATTTGATTTTGCTGTATAAAAAAAATACTTCTGCATAGTTTTCTCCATAGTCTTGACATGTTCTTATCTGATGCTCTAATTTTGAATATGTCCACAACCCTTTAATAAAGTATTAGAGCATCTGGTAACGTGATCCTTCCCAATGTGTCCCACCTTTCTTTTTCTCTGCTTTCAATACCTTCTGCTAGGCTGAAACCTTGGATGTATTAATTAAATGAACTGGTAACCTTTAAGATATCCATATCAACAAAAGGTCCTGTGAGACTGTGGCTGTCAACAAAACACGTTTGTAAGCAACTTGTTAAAAATCCCCCTAAGAGGAAGGTCTGTGTTCAAGAACAAGAACGTTAAACCAGTTTACTGACTGGTGTCTATCAAAATTGTATAAATTGAAATTTATGCATTGGGTCTCTTTGGTAGACCTGATGCCAGGTAGACCACGTCAGAGCAGGGGCATTTTGGTTTTTAATGACCTTTTGAGACAAAGGAGTCAGAAATTGTTGAGATCTGTGTAAATTGTCCTTAAAAAAATATAAATAAATTATAAACAATTAAAGAAATGTAGTAATTCAAAACTTATAACTAAAAGGTCTTCAGTTCTCTGCAAAGATTTCTACACTTGACAGATACTCAACACTCTTGAGTGACCAAAGAATGGCTGCTTTCGGTCAGGTTCGGTGGTGACTTTGAGGACCCAATGCATAGGAGTAGGCATATATGAGTTTGATTAATATAACGAAAATCCATAGCCTGGGTGCCATTCCGAACTTAGTCCCGCCCACAAAGTTTGAGGTCGGGGAAGTTCGGTCTGGCTCTGCTCCATAGTAGCGGTGCTCGGGGGAGGCGTGGACATCTTATTGTAATCCAAAGGGGGGCCCAGAAGAAAATCTTTGGGAACCACTGTTGTAGATCTATCCAATTGAGTGCAGAGGCATTTTTTTTCCTGGTTCGTTCAAAACACGCCCCATAATCACAGCTCTATGGAGCAGTATCAGACTCATATTCTGCCTAGAATTGAGTCGGACTACGTCAGGCTAGAAAATCCAAGGGGATCAGAGGCAAAAATCTACTGATGTTATGAGATGAGCTGAGGCTTCGAGGCACATGTCGATTAATGGAGGGGGCGTTTCCCCGGAGCGCGTGTCAAGGTGTGATTCATTTAGGGGAGGGGCCAAAGCTGATGATGTCCAAAGCCTCCCTACCGTGATACCACGTGACCACTTTGGGAAGTAGTTCAGAAAGCGCAGAACTTCTGCAGGCATTTAAATAGCCTCCCTACTCAGTCAAGATGTGTCTTAGACAGATTTGTCATTTTATTTACAAAAGTGTAAAACAAAAAGAAATTTCATTTGGAACAGCTCTCTGGAAAATGTCATCTTTTTAAAAGTGCAGCATTAAAAAATAGTTAAAAATATATATAAAAACAGTAATATAAACATAGGACTGTAAATTTACAGTTCTAACATTTTCATTTTTTAAAATATATAATGATAAAATATAATAAATATTATAAAATACAATACAATAACCCATTTTACCAAACATTCAGCAGTCTAATGGCAGTGGGGAAGAAACTGTTGTGAAATCTGCTCTCTTCCCCGAGGGCAGCAGGGACAACAGTCCATGGTGGGGGTGTCAGGAGTCATTTATGAGGTTACAGGCTTGGGACACGCAGCGCTGGGATGAATTGTCTTTTATGGAGAGAAGAGGAGCCCCGATGATGATCTCTGTTCTCACCACTCTCCTCACCTTCATCCAGCCTGAGGCGCTGCAGTCTCCACACCACACAGTGAGACAGCTGGTCAGAATGCTCTCCATGGTGCTTCTGTTGAAGGTGGTGAGGATGGGTGGGGGCAGGTTGGCTCTCCTCATCCTCCACAAGAAGTACATGGGCTCTGTTCGAAAACCTGGGCTGCATCCTCCAAGGACACGGTCTACCTAGACTGGATCCTTCGAATCCACCAGGATCAGGCTGTTATCTTTGCACCAGTCCACCAGCTCCTCCACCTCCTCTCTGTAGTCTAGGTCGTTGTAATTTCTGATGAGGACCACCACCATGGTGTCGTCTGCAAACTTCACGATGGGCTTGGTGGTGAACCTGAGGATGCAGTCATGTGTCATCAGGATGAACAGCACGGGGCTCA